CTGCCTTCAATTCATGTGTGTCTTTAAAATGATAACCTGTGTTACTTTTATTAAAATTCCATGGAATCTGAATGACTGAATTGTTAAATAAATTTGTTTGTATTTAAATTACTGTAAGTTTAAATAAATGATTGTGTGAATAATTGTATGCGTTTGTTAGCGGAAAAATTATAACGTATTAGAGCGGCGGTGAAAGTCGCCCAAAACTTAATCGCACTTCCTTATCATTCGTTCAATAAGGATGACCGTTACACCTTGCATACTTTATAAATTCCTTGAAGATTAGGCGTTGGCGGGTGCCAATTCCAACGTTGAAATGTGAAAGAGCAAGTTAAACCGAGTTAGTGTTATGTTAAGACCTCGTCCGAAAGCCTTGATAAATAGCCAAGAAGGGCGCACAGTATATCCCATCTCTTTTCTCATTAAAGTTTATCGAATTTACGAAAATGGACACACATATATTTTGTAAAGACAATGAATATAAAAATTAGGTATAGATTAACAAACACGTTATACATCTTAACATTTTACCGAAGATTATTAAAAAATCTGATATAATAGACTTTACATTTCATCTTACCGAATTGCTACACCTTAATAAATTACCCTCCGATATTAAGTCTGAAAACATTTACGCAAAATAAAAAAATATGACTTAGAGCCCTTCAAATCTTTTGATGGGCATGGCTAACACTAAAAAAAGTTGACAAGGAATCGATTAAAATTTCACTTGCAGCCTAGCTTTAGAGTCCGTGAAAATTTCCTCTAGCTACTCTAAAATCGAATCGAGAAAGTGATGTGATGATGAGGTCAAATAAGTGTTATAAACCATGGGTGCGTCCTCAGAAAACTAGTCACAAGTCAGGCAGAGTTTGCTTTATGAGCACTCTCCTTGATTTCCACCACCCATTCCATCCTCCAGAAAGAAAGGTGGGTATGAAGGACGGAGCGTGGCTCCAATCATGGTGTAAGCTTCCTGATTATCATGGACATCCTGTTTCCTGCAGTTGGAGGAGCGGGGCTAGTTTGCTCTATGTGCCGCCACCACCTTCTTCAACTGAAAAAAAAGGAGATTTAATAAGTGAACTAAGGCAATACGGAGAGAAATTACGTGAAACTGCGAAATAGATTGTGATTTGCGTTAAAATGAAATATTCCAGACAGGGGTTGATCCCCGAGACAGTGAAATGGAGGCTAGATTAATGTATATTAGGCTGCCCCTATTTTAATAATACCCGGCCATACATAGTGCCTGTGTAACGTGTTATATCAGGATTCTGTGCTTCTACCCGCAGCAGCAACCTGCAGACACCACGGTGGATGATTAAGGAAAAATGTGTTTTAGATCTGGCTGAATTCTGAAGTCAACTTTAAAATTTTATTATGTTATGCTCATCGTATGTGATTACAATTTTTGTCGGTTTAAATGGAGACAATTTTCCTATAATTTTAAAAAAGTGTGGCCGGCTGATGCCTGCCTTAATTCGATTCTCGAGAACTGCCTTAAAACATTTTCTGCGAGTGCTCCCTGCATTTCTGCAGAGAGTTATTAACATTTTAGAGATTGATCATTCAATTAAAAATCCTTCCAGATCGATTGGCAGTAGTCATAACCTAATTGTTACATCTAATTATCCGATCCAATCGCCCCTTCAGAAATCAACAAATAACTTCATCGGTGGACTCTTGGGTCATTAGCGAACACTTGCGAACCCGCCACGGAACACACGTTAGTAAGGGATGATTTTATACTTTTATACTGTCTAGAAAATTAAAAGCATGTATTTTGAGCCTGGCTCGCATATCATGTTCTTATTATGCCGCGATGCAATTACCTAACATGATGATTCGGAATGATAATTTTGTTATGGGTTGTTTTGATAACTGTTTTCAAACATTCGCCTAACAAGGATTTCTTCGGTGGTATTATTAGATTTTACCGATTTGTGTGTTTGTGCCAATGCAGTTTGTGTAGTTTTCCTTGTAGTGACTTACAGCTGGCATTTATGTAAATGCCTCGGTTAACATTCCCGTCCGAAGTGTGGATAGAACCGGGTACCGATCTCACAGTCACATGTAAAACAGATAGAGGTGTGTGAATTGTGATAAGCTGGCGTCTATACACGACGAGGAGGTTCCTTCAGATGAACAATTGAGGCAATTCAGGGACAGCTACCGTTCATTTGGGTTTGGGTTCGGCCGATCAACCTCCAGCAAGTACAGCAAGTACAGCAACACTCAACCAGAGGACGGTGGAATTTACACGTGCGTTGTGTTCCACGATGATGATCTCCTTCCGGTGGAGATAGCTACCAGTCTGGTTCATGTAAGGGACCTCTGTGCTGACTCTAACTGTTTCGAACAACAGACTTGTTTCCCTGACTACGACACGGGAACGTTCCAGTGCGAGTGTGTGTTCGACTGCCATTTATCCGAGCCAAAACTTCTGTGCACGGACACGTGCGAGCTGTTTTTCAACGAGTGTTCAATGTGGGAGACAATGTGTTTGGATGGGGTACACCGGAATGTGGCGTATTATGATGTGTGTCAAGCTGAGGAGCGACCCATAGTGTTACAGTCCGATATACCTGTTGATATGACACCCTCGTGGGATGAAGAAGTGGTTTTATATTCAGGGCTGACCAGAGACGGGATACCCTCCTCCTCAATAACCTGGTACCTAAACGGAAATGAGATCCAAGAGTTCAGAAACAAAAGTAAGATGAAGTTTGTAACATCAGCGGAGTGGGGAGGTCAGATAGAGTGTAAGATCATGCATTGTATGAGGGAGAGCGTTGTGTTCTACACCCGCTACAACATCATCCTCCCTCCTCCACCAGGGGTGTACCATGTCTGCAGTGTCTTCCCTGGTGGGGTTTTAGAACAGTTCCACGGAGCTGTAAGCAACTATGATCTGGCTTGTTCTCATGTTCTGGCGGCTAACTCTTTGGTCAATACTGACTACAGCCAAGGCTGGTATATATACGGTACATTCGACGTGCACGACGGATCTGGTATAGCGCCCTCTCATGGCCATGACATCTTGTGGGACCTCAGCGGATTGAGTTCCAGAGGGGGTGGTTTGATACAACATTGGAGGAGAGAAGATGCGAGGTGGATGTGGGAGTGGGGGTGATGTTTGAGAGGACAGAGCGGCTTGCGAGGTGAGGTTCATGGACTTCACCTCCGAAGCAGCGTGTCCTCTTTCTACGGTGCTATGATGGGGGGTCTGTCTGGGCATGTTAGAATTGGGAGGTGGGGAGGAGTTTGTGGAGGATGTGGCCGGATAAAGTGACCTGAGTTTGGGTTGTGTTGGCGACAGTGACGCCAGGGTTTCAGGACCAACTGGAGGATGATGTTCACTGAAGAGTGTGCAGTGGAGGGGTCAGTGAGCCAGTGTCCTGATATGCACCACCTTTTACTGTGACAAATCAACAAGAGAACCAGGCCTCAGGGTACGGTAAAGCTACCCCAATAGCTGAATCAGGGGCCTTGACCTTGGAGGCTGGTTCCAGGGTTATCGCTGTGCTGAGTTGAAGTGTGAGGAACAGGAAATAACTGCTGTACAAAGGTGCGCGCTGAACCAAGCTGATAGTGTAAACTGCCATCTGAAGCAGAAGTCTGAGTTGAGGAAGAGGGTGGGAGGGGAGGAGTGCCCGGAGGAGGAATGCGAGTGGGAGTTGGAGATAGTGACCCGGGGCTGCCCACAAGACAACCCACCCTTTCAGTGTAATGGAGTTTAGCAGGATTACATTTGAACTGTTATTCTCGTAATTAGTGCCATCAGATTAGATGGATAAAGTGGATCGTCTGAAGCCAAGTGTTAAGAAAAGCGAGTGTGGAGCAAGTAATCCAGAGTGGCCAAACTTACTCTTTAGTTTAAACTAACGATGTTATTCGTTTGAGGTGATATATTCATCGTAAATGTATTGAGAACATGTCACATTGACATCAAACAATTATACGCCTCTTGATTGGGCATGATTTGAATAAATTACGAGATTTGTAAATTTTTATCAGATTGTACACTTTTTTCCAAAATATATTTTTCGTTGTTTTATGTTATTGAGATTTAACCCGAGTGCTATAAAATTCTTAAATACTTTTATCAAAAGTTATTCAATCGATTTTACTTTAATTCTAAAATTAAAATTTCTTTATATAGTATTTTGGAACATTACGTATGGATTTTGGAAAGTGGTTTAGTTCACTTAATTTCTGTTGGAGGCCTTGCCGAATACAGTAAAAATCCTGATTTTTCCAATCTGTTTTACTAAGAAACTATCTTGAAAGGTTAAACATCATTTGACCAGTTACCCCGAAACTGAGTCTCTGCTTCTCTGTTCATTCCGCGCAATATTTAGAATGGGGCAATAGTAAACTTTATATAATGTCGATTGTAATAGACGAATAATAGAATTAGGAATACCCGTTTTTTAGTACCAAGGACGAGGAGGTGACTTAATGTCCTAAGTGTGGTAAAGACTTAAGTTACCATGTAAATTGAAAATGATCCCTAAATAATAGATTTGTTCGTTGTTAAGGCTGGATACGATTAGGTACCCTTCATTTTCGTTTTTAAAATTATTTGCTTTGCATAATCACTTTATAAATAGGAGAGGTCGACATCAAAGTAATTTAAATTGAAATTATTAATATATGACTTTAATTTGCTTTAAGCTTTGTGAAATGTTTGAGAAAACGTTTCAAACTTAGAAATTTGGCCATGACAGGGATAAGTGGGCGAGCAATCGCCTATTACTATATTAGTTAAAATGCTTTTATTAGTTGAACAAGGGGTTCATTTAATTATAGAACGTTTCTTTAATGAATAAAGGAGAGCAAGTTTATTTTGCCACTAATTTATAATAGGCTGGATCCAGCTGCTTAGCAGACGACGTTCTGCCGTTATACAATAAATATAATATAACAAAATTAGTAATACAAATTAAAGTTTCATATAAAAAACTCCAAATTATTTAAACATTGAGACCAGCTACCTGAGGAGAAGGACAGTGCAGGAATACCAGTCTCGCTCCACTCGTCTTTGTTCTGATGTGCTCTTTTTATCATAGCTTGCTTCATATCCTCCGGCCATTCACAGTCTGAAAGGGGAAGTTTTAATAAAATTAAAATTAGTTATTAATGATTAGGGTTATTATAATCAGCGTACATTTCCAATCTTGTCGTGAAGCAAAACGTTACTGAAGTATAAGGAAGCTCAAACCTTTGACGATATATTTGTTGCTGGCGATGTTAGGACAAATATTATGAGGTCAGGCGTGATGTCCTTTCTGATAATATCCAGGAAATCGGCCAAATGTCTGTCACGTGTTGTATTCACCACCAATACTTTCCTTCGACTGAAATAGCGGGGTGGAGTTAAAACGGTGAGATGAAAAATATTTATATTGCAGGGTAATTATAGATTAGACAATGGATGTAAAGCCGTTTTTTTGGTAAACCGACTTACACTCTTCCTACAGGACAACAAAATACGGCCAGTTACGGAAACTTTCATAATCGGAAAAGAAGAGACAATTATTTGTGCAAAAAATAAAGGGCAACTTGAGGGCCGTTTGATCAATTATATTGGACGACACCAATTTCAACTCCGACCGTGCAAAGGATCCCACCTGTCGCGGCTGCAGTTTTTGAACCACTGTGAACATCAGACATATACTGGACGGGTGTATGGGGCTCCCTCAAAGGTGGTAGGTTACCTTGTACTCGGTAGCATACGTGGTTTCTTCCGCGGCTCACTGACTCGTCGATATTCCTGTGATAACAACAAGGAAATGTTTTCTAACTGACACGTCATTATTCTGAAATACAAGGACACTTTTTCGTTTCTAGGTTGGAATAATCAAAGAAGCTGACTAAACTCGGTAATTTACCAATATCAAATCTAAGAGTTGCAATTAGAGTAGTTGAAATTAGCATTCTTGAGGAAGGTATCTGCGAATCTTGAAGGGCGACCTGCTTAGCAGGTCCTGATGACAGGAAAACATCCACAGCTTAAACAGGGGTCCTTATATTTGTCCCCTGAATAGTGCAATAATACATTAAAAGTAAACAATCGAAGGTAATGACGGAGATCGTAGAGATCAAAAATATTTCGTTTACATAAATATGAACACTCAGCGAGATATTTACTTCGGGTCAACCTCATCTCCCTGTAAGATCAAAAGCAAAAAATTGATCTGAGGAAACGCTGGTCATCAACGAGACCCCATAAAACATTAATCCCTAAATAACATTCTCCACGGGACTACGGGCAACTTTTTCTGAAATGGTTCAGCATTGCAAAGTTTTATCCAAGTTTTTGTTGGAGATGACTCCTCGGTGGCTTGGTACTCTATATTAAAAATGAAGCAAAGATGTCCGCGGGAGCTAGCATCATGTGCTCAGTTTTAATAGTTCCCTTAAATTAGTAAGTTAAGTGATACAGATGTATTACCTGGTGATGAGGGGATTCAAGTTGAGCCAATGTTTAGCTATCTGCAGTGACAGGGAAATGTTATCTGACCAGGTGTCTGAGTTCAGAGTCGGCGGGTTGGGGTAGTGGGACAACGGAGGCAATGAGGGTGCAATGTTTAATATTATTTTTTAAATATTAATAATAATTATTGTGGTAGTCTGGTTAATAATTGATTATAGAATTAACCTCAATACTGGTTGAGTTGGGATCAGGTTAATTAAGAACTATTATCATGATGACGATGATAAAAAAAGGGAGGACGGATTAAAGGAAAAGAGGAAGAATGTGTTTATGCTAAAATATAAAATATGAAGCCTTACATGACATTACCATGTTTAATGTTTATCTGGGCGGGTTTGTACATTAGCAGATTATTATTACTTTATTAAGAGCTGAATAACTCTAATTTTAATATTGCTATTGGCTGCATAATAAGTCGATGACAGTTTTCTACCATTTTGGTATTTATTATCTGATTGCCCGAGGTATTCTTAAATTTTTGGGAAATCGTGAGAAAATAAGAAATGTTTGTAATAGGTGGCGCGCGGTGATAACAGAATGTTTTGAATGCAATTGAAATAGAGACCATCGACGGCAAAATTGTCTCCTTTAAGCTTCACAATTCGAGACCGACAGGAATGATAATTCCATTTTTTACCGCTAGTTTGCTTCAAATTGAATGCTTATATTGTGAGTTGTGACGTTCGGTAGTTAATGTGGTCATCTCCGCATCAGGCTCGGTCAAATAGTCGTACCTTGCTTTTGTCGGGCTACATTTTAAAGATGGCAAAAATAGTGGTCATACCTGAGTGATTAAATCTAAAGAAACCGAATTTTGTTGCCAGATGAATCACCATAATATTTAGCGAGCGACCATATTTTGTGAAATATTATCTTCCACACAGTGGCTTCATGAGGTTTATTAGCATTAGGACAGGTGGTAAATAAGTCACAACAACAGAATGTGTACTCATTACTCATTAGAGAAGTAATTATCCAGCCTCTAACAAAATTAGAAGCCGAACTTTGGACACTTTGTTACTTGCACAATTCCGTGTTAATTTTGTTAAAGGGTTTTTAAGTTTTGACACTGTCTCTTTTGGTTGTGACGAATTACTATTAGTGCAGATGTTTTGATCTGTCAAATTGTTTATTACCTTATTAACATCTGAACAAATTTCAAGCGCTTGCTACGTCTGATTGTATTGGCAATCATTATTAAGCGACCTTAAACTGGTCATATAAAGACAATCGTACCAAATATCTCTTAGTTTTACTTGTGAATCAGCAAATCTTTAATCGACTCAGGCAGGTTATCAGTATTCACTAGACTGGTACTGCAGTAGTAAGGATCATAAATCAGCACCAATTATTATCAAAGAAATTATCAACGCAGTGTTTATCCCTGAAAATGGGATAAACTGACTAGACCAGTTAAATGAACAGTGTTCATCCCTACTATCTCTGCGTATTGTCCAAACCGTTTATTGTTCGTCATTATGCCCAAGACTCAGTTAAATGTTGTGAAAAAGCTGCAAGTCTTAAGTGCAATTTGAAGTGCATTGTTATATAAACGGAGTTTTCGTTCTGTCAATGGTAGCTTTTGTTCCGTTAATATCTGAGATTTGTCTCGAGACTTTGAGACCCGAATATAATACAATAGTTTTTCTTCCATCGTCAGTCTGGAATTTTACCGCTGTGAATTCAATCTTGTGATATATAAGTATTATATATATATATATGATATATCTATTCGTATCTTTTCATTGGATTTATTAAAACTGTTTTTTGTAAGGAGTTTGCCTGAGAAATAGTGTTATTTAAAAAACCGTCGTATTAACTCACAGTAAAAACCGCGATTTACCGCACTTTCCCGATTTACCGCGGCCTTTTCCTTTCCCCAAATTCCTGTTTTCCCATACAAGGGATAGGGGATGGGTGGTGAGTTCCAGATTTAGGGGCGGCGTCCAGCTTGAGAAAAACAGACTCGTGGGGACGTACTAGGACAACGTGAAAAATACAGGACAGCAAACATTCTCATATTTTCGATAATTGGGGGTTACTGAAAAGTTGCAAACTTGAAAGACTAATTTAAAAAACACTCAGACGAGAAAGCATTCAGATGTTACTTGGACTGTTCATTAGGTTATGTATCATATCTCCGCTATTGCGTCGTGAGTGAACCTTAAATTGTCTATACTATAAAGTATCTGTAGCTGTCAACAAATTTACTTTTAGCTTGCAGATTTTCACTCGCGATTTAAAGCAAGGTTGTGCCACAGTTCTCTTAGTGCCATTTTGTAATTCTGATTTAGACTTTAGAGTCTTTAATGAAGGTCGGAAGTGAGGGAAAGTTTAAGTAAGAATAAAACATTGTGTTAGAGTGTTAGCATGTAATATTGCACTTGTACACTTGTGAAGGCCAGTTAAAGTGCAGAACTGTATGTTTCGTTGCTTTGTGATACTGATACGTCATGATTAGCTCTCATCTAGACATAACATATAGACATATAACAATTCGATGTGACTAATGATCTTAATGCAGTAAAAACTTTAGATTAATTAGCTTAATTAGCTTAACTTTAGATTTATTAAGGAATACTTGGAACTTTACTATTATTGAGCTATGAAGGTTCAGTAGTGGTATAATATGATGAAGAGAAGTTATAAATTAGTGTATTAATGATTTAATTAAAATTCCTTGAAAATATTTTCTAGTTTGATATACAGCAGCGTTGAAAGTATCTAACTTACTGAGTTACTGCACAGTTTTATATTATTCTTCCAGTTTCATCAGGCCCGGCAACCATGTTGATAATCCAATTTATGAAATTTTCTAAATTTCGACAGTCATCGTTAATACTTCATAATTCGTGATAATGACTATTCTTGATTGAATCTGCCACATAGTCATACAATATGATACAGTGGTGTTAAACCAGTGTACCCAGTTGGTCCGAAAAAAATACGAAATGTTGTTAAATAAAAGCTCAACTCGGCTTCTGAGATTGCTTAGATAAATTTGGTGCCGACTCAGGGACCCTGGTTCCCCCCGATGTGACTTAAAATACTTTAACAACTTTTCTCTTTTCTCAGTGTATATTGAGCAGATGTTTTGTTCACTCGGAAAAACTTTCATAATCGACCAATGATCTAGTTATCTCGGATACATTTCTAACGTTCTCTTACGTACATTACTTTACCGCTCGGTCTCTTTTGTTCGTTAAAATCAAAGGTTTCTCTGTCATACCTACATAAGTAGTTGGTGACTGACGGTAATAGTATTAATCTTTCAGCATAAGTTGGTAAAACTAGCAGTTCCTTATTCGTCTCTACCAATAGATGTTTTTTATGGATTTATCCTAGTTCGCCTTTTTGTAAATAAAATATTCTTGTGAAAGGTACTGATTTATTTTTGAGCTGATTGTAAAGGTATTTGATTAGTGGTCAGAGTGGCACACAGATTCCTGACTAGCCAATTACACCCATTAGATACTTAATTCTCTGCAGTTCGTTGTAAGTTATCCACTTGACCAAGATTATCAATAAGGTCTAAAATCACAATCTCTCGATTAGTCACTCAGTTAGTGGCAGAATATTAATTATTCATTAAACAATTATCCTTAAACAATTTACTTGAACAGCTCCTGTTTCTGAGCTATGTAATGGTAATGTTTCTCAACCTGATGTCAGTTTGACTCTCGTAAGTCCTATTCTGCCCATTTGCTATCGTAATGTAATGGAGATAATTTCTTTGTTATAAGCTTTCAATTCAACTGTTGTTCATTAAGAGGTAACCTAACTCAGCATTCTTGTTCCCATGGTGAGGCCAGGTATAGAAGATATTATGTAAATATATCCTCATTACACCACTTAAGGCCTAAGGGGTAACATGTAATCTGTCAGCGAATGTTAAATACCCGTTTGTGTGAAATTCTGGAATGTAACACAAAGAAAGGAGTCGAAGGAAGTACACAGTACCAGACCACCATTGACCATATCAATGTTTTAATTCAGGAGGCCATATGAGACATTGTACAGATTCAGGGCCGGGCGGGGGGGGGGGGGGGGGGGGGTTTGTTGGCCAAGGGTATTTTTTTGTGAAACTTGAAATCGTGATAGCAGTGACCGAATTTTGAGGGGGTCCCGCGCGACCAACACGCCAATCGGCTGCCTGCGGTAAGCCAGCCACGCCAATATTTGGTCCAAATTAGGCCCAATTTAGCAGTGCAAAATTCAGAATTTGGCCGCCAAATATTTTTGGAATAAGGTCGAAAATGCGATTTAGAGTCGATTCCGAAAATTTCATGCAAAAATTTTGTAAACTGATTGAGTTATTTCCAAATTGATGAAATCAATTCCGCGTATATCGCGAACGAATGTGATTCGGGAAGTTTTGTTCATTTTTTGCAGGTATTTTGGCCTTAGTATTCCACATTTAAACAGATATAAAGCTTATACTTACAGAGATATGTAGTTTAGGCTATCCTGTGTTCATATAACGTTAGTCTTCATCCAAATATATTGATGTTCTGACTAATTTATGGGAAGAAATCTACCAAATTTGGTGCGTTGACATGCCAAATATGGGCATATGGTTTTTGGCTCATAACTCATTCATTTTTGTCCAATCTTGATGGAAATTTCATATTAGAGTTTAGGGGACCACTAGCTACAAGTAGAGCCACCATAAAACCTGGGTTTGGGCATGCTTCAGGGTATTTGGCCTAAATTGGGCCTATTTTGCAACCAAATATTGGCGTGGCTGCCCCGCAAGCACCGTTTTGGCGGTTGGGGTCCGCAGGACCCCCTCAAAGTTCGGTCACTCGGCCTAGTTAGTTGGTAAACTGCCTCTCTCGAATTCAAGTTTCACAAAAAAATACCCATGTCCCCCCCCCCCCCCCCCCCCCCCCCCCCCCCCCCCCCCCCCCCCCCCCCCCCCCCCCCCCCCCCCCCCCCCCCCCCCCCCCCCCCCCCCCCCCCCCCCCCCCCCCCCCCCCCCCCACCCCCCCCACCCCCCCCCCCACCCCCCCCCCCCCCCCCCCCCCCCCCCCCCCCCCCCCCCCCCCCCCCCCCCCCCCCCCCCCCCCCCCCCCCCCA